AAATCTAGATCAACACGCTGCAAAGATGGTTCTCTACCTCAGAATATTTAATTTCTCTTACTTTTTTTTAATGTCAATGGCAATTAGGCAGCTAACTCACGTAGGTTTCTAATGGAGTTTACAAAGGCCCCTATCTGCCTCTTTAGGCACCTAAATACCTTTAAAACTCCGTTTCCAGGCTCCTTTCTGCCTCTATAGGCACTTAAATATCTCAGACTCTCCTCACACCACAAGTGAAGGACTTTGTAGGACAGGGGTCGGCAACCTACGGCACGTGTGCCAAAGATGGCACGCGAGCCGATTTTTAATGGCACGCCGAGGTCCCGGCCGCCGGCCCCGCTTAGCCCGCTGCCGGCCTGGGTGAAGGGAATCCCAATCCGGAAGGGAACCCTGCCTGGGTGAAGGGAACCCCAGGCCGGAAGGGAACCCGGCCTGGGTGAAGGGAACCCCAGGCCGGAAGGGAACCCTGCCTGGGTGAAGGGAACCCCAGGCCGGAATGGAACCCGGCCTGGGTGAAGGGAACCCCAGGCCGGTAGCGGGCTGAGCAGAGCCAGGAGCAGAGACCCCGGCTGGCAAGAGCCAGTGGCTGGAACCCCAGACCGGCAGCAGGCTGAGCATACTTAAGAACTGCATAGGGGAAACTGAGGAAAACATTAAGAACAGTCCCACTTCGTCACACACAGTAATACAGGGCCGTGTCCTGGAGTTCCAGGTCGCTCATTTGCAGATACAGCAGGTTGTTGGGATTGTCCCTGGAGATGGTGAATCGGCCTTGGATCGAGCTGGCGTAATGTACAGTACTGCCGGCCCAGTAGCTTATACAAGGCTGGGGGGAGGGATAGCTCAGTGGTTTGAGCATTGGCTTGCTAAACCCCAGGTTGTGAATTCAATCCTTGAGGGGGTCACGAGGGATCGGGGGCAAAAATCAGTACTTGGTCCTGCTAGTGAAGGCAGGGGGTTGGACTAAATGACTTTTCAGGGTCCCTTCCAGTTCTAGGAGATAGGTATATCTCCACATATTTATTTAGATCCACTCCAGGCCCTTGCCAGGAACCTGACAGACCCAGCTTATCCAGTAGTCTCCAAAGATGACTTTTCCACTCCCCGTCCAGACCCCACCAGCTGGACCTGGGGCCGGCCACCTGTAAATAAAGGCACTTTAAAGCGTATTGATGTTATATTCAGCAACTCAATATTCTTCAGGGCACTCAGGGGAGAACATACCTTCCAGAGCTGCTACAATGAGAACGAAATGGAGACAAAGTCTCATTTTCCCTGGTTTTGGAGGGGAAACTTATCAGGTGGGTTTGGCTGGTAACTGCATAGACACCAGAGGGCTGCCGATTGTCTCTGGCTGCAGCCTGGGCAGAGAGGGACAGATTTAAACAGGAAACTTTCACCCCTATTTGAATATCCCCCACTTATAGGAGACACAAACCCTTTCCCTGAATGCTTGGAGTTATTTGGCCAGTGGCTCTAAGGGAGGAAGTCGGACTGGTGCAAACTCTGTGTCAGGGCAGCACCCAGCGAGTGCGGGGCCATCTGACCATACAGGTTCACCAAGAGCTCCCTTGAATCCCCTCCCATCCCTCCAGGTGTAAGGGCTGAGCTACCGTCTAGTGAAGGGAATGGAAAGACCCACCTCTGGCGTTAGGGGACTGTGGGTCAGGCCCTTAGAGAGAAGTGAAAAGGGAAGAATAGGGGGGAAAATCTGTTTTTCTGTTGAGTCTAGAGGTGTTTGGAGCCTGATGTACCCTTTGAAGTGTGTGTTAGATCCACACTGGCATCTTATTGTTTTTCAGAGGAATTTGAGAGCAATTCTACCCATCCCCCAACAAACAACAAAAGCATTTGCACAGTCATCACTTTTAGGCAGCTTTGGAAGCCCAAGTTCTGATTCTCACACTGAACAATTGGTCCCCCAAATATTTCTCTTGTGCAGTCTGCAGTTTTACTTCAGTGTCTGATGAGCACCAGTGTAAGCATGTGATAGTCAAGTTGTTGCAGTTTTTATGGACACCTGATCGTATATGAATACAGAGATCTCAAACCTGACGAGAGGGTTTTTTCGCTCTGGTTGTAGATCCCGTTCCTGTGCCCAGTGCTGGATGGTTTGTGGAAGTGCTGCCCCCACGCGGCGTATGGCAGAAAGAAGATTCTGCAGCTTGAGTTTTTGTATTAACAGTATCGGGATTCCCCTCACTGTGTCTCTCGCACAGTGATACCGGGCGGTGTCCTCGGGCTTCAGGCCGGTCATTTGCAGGTACAGCAGGCTGTTGGGGTCATCTCTGGAGACGGTGAATCGCCCTTTTATGGAGTCACTGTAGTATATGCTAGAGCCGTGAATCCAGGTGAGCCACTCCAGTCCCTTTCCGGGAGCCTGACGGACCCAGCCCACGTAGTAGCTGCTGAAGGTGAAGCCGGAGGCTTTGCAGGAGAGGCGGAGAGACATCCATTCTCTGTATTGTCGGTGCAGTTTGCAGTATCCAGCGCTCCAGCGTCCCAGGAGGTTTATCCCCACTCGGAGATACCCACATGTCAGTCCCTATGTGGGGGAAATGCTCACAATTCCCTTGTGTCCTGTCATGTCATTTCCAGGTTTCCGGGGGGGGGGGGGGAGGCGCAGTGGTAAAGGAACTTTTAAATGTGAGCGGGGGGGAAAGAATCTGCGCTCTCCTTTCGCAAACAAACCCTCTGTCATGGCCTTGATTCGAGCTTAAAACAACCCCAACTTTACACTCGCAAACGCACAGTGCCAAGTTACCACGGTGATGGGCGCCAGTCTCAGACCCCGGACAGCTGGAACCCGGGCAGTGATTAAGAGGCGCTCACTAATGCTCTGCTCATCCCCGGCCTGTCGCACAGCTAACGAGGGGAGACTGGCCAATGGGCGCTGGAGATCGCTCCTTGTTCCAGCTCCTTTTCAAGAGGGAGGGGGGAGGTTGGGGTGTTTTATGCAAATCTCAGGCCCCCGTTCCCCGTTTAAAGAGCAGCGCCTGGGTTCTCACCGGGACCCGCCTGCTCAGGGCCTGACCCGCATCTTCATTGGTTTGCGTTTCACTTGAAGACCAGCATGAAATCTTTACTCGTCCTCGTGCTGTCACTGGCTACCGCCCCATAAGGGAGGTGTCAGGGTTCATTAGGGTCAGAGAGCGCAGGGCTGGAGGCCTTGTCTGCTGGCTGCTCGCCTGGGGACCCTCATTCCCCTTTCGATAGATCTGCTCTCGGACTGATGTGCCCCAGCCATGCCATGCAGGAACAGAACGCTGTACACGCAGTGAACATATGGAATCCGCGCTTTCAAAACAATATCAGAAACACGGAAGGGGATGTCTGGGGGCGGGGGAGCAGGAAGACGAGGACTCTCGACTTTTTTTTTTCTGTGAACCGGACACCAACAAACACCTTTCCAATATCGGTTCTTGCCTGTCACTGTAAGTGTGGGGAGGTGAGAGCGCAGAAAGCCTGGCAGAGCGGGGCAGGCTGCTTTCCATGCTATCAAACCCGGACAGCAATTACAGACATTTCCCTGACTGCGAAGAGGAGAGTCGTGCCCACTTCAGGGGTGTCAGGGTTGGACCTGTAGACCGAGCATACGCCATCTAGCAAGTTGCCGAGGCAACAGCCAAGGCCCAGAGTCTGTTAAACCCTTGAGGAGTTCAAATCTTTTCCCATCCTTTTTTCTCCAGTAACGAGTCTCGCTCCTACTCCTGGCTCCTCAGACCAAGACGTGAGATCATAAGAACTGAAGAACGGCCAGACTGGGTCCGACCAATGGTCCGTCTAGCCCAGTGACAAGGGCAATCATCAACTCATCCCCTGGGAAGGGGCTTTGTCTGGTATAAGGAGGGGGATACGCAAATAACGGTGAGCGTTTCCTGTTTAAATCTCTCTCTGCAGGGCTGCACCCGGAGAGAATCCGCAGCCCCCTGTGTCTGTGCACCACCAGAGACCTTTCCCCTCCCACACCAGGGAAATGAGTCTGTGGCTCCATTTAGCTTCCCTTGCAGCCGCTTTGGAAGGTATTTTCTCCCCTGTGTGGATAACAGAGTCAGCGGAATGGTATGTGGTTGGCAGTTCACACTGACACGATTTTAACACAGGTTTATTCCCAGGTGTCCTGTCACAAGTCCACTGCTGGAGTCCGGAGGGGATGTGAAAAAGCCCAGAGACTCCCTCAGACTGACCTGTACCACCTCAGAGTTCAACATAGACAGCCACTGAATTAATTGGATCTGTCAGGGCGGGTCCCGGGCAGGGGCTGCGGTGGGTATCAGCAATTAGTGGAGCAACCACCTACTACAGAAATTCAGTGAAAGGGCGATTCGCCCCCCGCCCCCACCCGCACAAACACTCCAGTTCACCCTTCCCTGCACGCTGTGAGCGGAGCTGGAGATAGACTTCGTCCTTCGAGGTGTCCCTGGTGATGGTGATCCGGCTACTGAAAGCCGAGCTGTGGTGCCTCCGCCTGCAGTGCTCCGGATGTGCCCCACCCACTCCAGCCCTTTCCCCGGTGGCTGTCGGACCCAGCCCCAATAGTTGCTGCTGACAGAGACACCAGAAACCTTACAGGTGATACTGAGGGTCTCTGAGGGCTTCACTGCCCCTGGGCCGGTCTGGACCAGCTGCACTTGGGAGAGGACACCTGGGGAAAGGAGAACAGAGCTGACTCTCTCCTGGAACCAGTGCGTTCCCCACCTCGGTGTTTCTCAGGATCCCATGAAACACTCACCTGATGGGGCGGCGAGTAGGAAAAGGGAGAAGAGCAGTGACAGTGTCATGGTGACGGCTAATGGAGAAACTCCCCAGAAGGCAGGACCAGAAAGTTCTGTGTCTGGGGAGAGACTGAGGCTCCTACAACCAGGGGTTGGTATTTAACAGGAGCCCTCGGGGCAGGGATTTGCATGAGGGTTTCCCAGGGTGGCTATTAGAGGCGGCAGAGGGTGAGCGCTCAGTATATGGTGATGTCCCCTTTGGACAGGGGTCCCCTTTACAACCCAGAGAGACCACACGCTCAGCTCAGCACAGCTGTGCATTGGTCTGTTGAATTGCCTGGGGCCCTAGAGACAGGACAGGAGTGGCAGGGTCAGTTCCTAAATCACCCACTCACTCCCTGCTGCCGTTGGGTAAATCCACCTAGGCGCTCTGCGTGCACAATTCCCACTCTTGTTAGTGGGAGGTGGGTGCCCAAACCCCCTAGCCAAGTTGGTTAATTTCCACTTTTGTGACTCTGGGCCTCATTTCCTCGTTTGTAAAGCGGGGTTAACGAGACTTCCCTGCTTCATGTGTGGACTGAGAGGGTGAAATCCAGGACTGGTTGTGAGTCGCTGAAACGTTCCGGTGACAAGGAACAGAGAAGAACAGAGACAGGTAGGTGGCTGGGCATCCAGCCGCCAGTGAAATCCAGTGAGATTGTGGTTCCTAAATCTCCCAGGCTTCTTAAGAACATAAGAAATGGTTAAAAGATAGGAAAAAAAGGGCAGGAATAAATGGTCAGTTTTCAGAATGGAGAGAGGTAAATAGTGGTGTCCCCCAGGGGTCTGTACTGTGCCCAGTCCTATTCAACATATTCATAAATGATCTAGAAAAAGGGGTAAACAGTGATCTGGTGAAATTTGCAGATGATACAAAACTACTCAAGATAGTTAAGTTCCAGGCAGACTGTGAAGAGCTACAAAAGAATCTCACAAAACTGGGTGACTGGACAACAAAATGGCAGATGAAATTCAATGTTGATAAATGCAAAGTAATGCATATTGGAAAGTATAATCCCAACTATACATATAAAACGATGGGGTCTAAATTAGCTGTTCCCACTCCAGAAAGAGATCTTGGAGTCATTGTGGACAGTTCTCTGAAAACAGCCACTCAATGTGCAGCTGCAGTCAAAAAAGCGAACAGAATGCTGGGAATCATTAAGAAAGGGATAGATAATAGGACAGAAAATATCATGTTGCCTCTCTATAAATCCATGGTGCACCCACATCTTGAATACAGTGTGCAGATGTGGTTGCCCCATCTCAAAGAAGATATATTGGAATTGGAAAAGGTTAGAAAAGGGCAACAAAAATGATTAGAGGTATGGAACGGCGT